CTATAAATATTTTTCAAGAAGATCATAAGCATTTTAGACCTTGGAAAGAAATAAATGATAAAAGTATCTCTTATAATATCCAGGATTAAGCTTGTTGTGAAAGAATAACATTCAAGCAAGCCGGGACAGAAACACTGGTCTATCAAGGGGTTTTTGGTGACAAGGCTCAAACACAGGGTCTCGTCAATGCTGAGTTACACCTCTGGCCCTATCACTGAGTCAGCAATATTACTGCTGGAATAGATCATTCTCATGTATATACATACATGTTAAATATATAAAAGAAAAATGTAGATATGCTATTACTATTTTGACTATGTGCATAGTATATAATATATTTTAGAAATAACTAGAAAACTCTAAATTATTCATCAGTACTCATCACAGGGCTGACAAAGCAATCCACAGCACATCATAAAATAGGATAAGACCCAGCTGCAAGAGAAGAATGAGCTAGGTCACTAGGACCGATGGGAAACGCCTCCAAAATGCATTAAGGAATAAAAGCAAGTTATTTTTGTATACAGATATCAAAATATTTGATTTTGAAATTCCAGAAGAACGCATAAGACACCTCTGAGAAACAGACTCAGTATACCTAGAAGGTCGCTGTGCTGTCGGAATTATGTTTGCCACACCACACAAAACTATATGCGATATTTTGGGCATAGTCTGGGAGGATCCACATGCTCCCTGTAGAAGTGTGAAAGTCAATGTCTCTCCGGAGTCCTTTACAAGGAGAAAAGAGCCGACCAGCTAATGAGAAGGTAAGCCTCCCCCACTGTCCAGGAGACAGACAGGTCACTAAGAGCCCATCCTCAGCTAACCTTCTGTGGGGCCGGGCTTCACAAGTGACAAGAAATCTTAATTTCAATTTGTATAGAACTACATAATCAATCTCTGAAATCCAAGTCTGAAAGAAATGCAGAGACATTCCTTCCTAAATGATCCAAAGAAAACTAAATGTTTCCCCAGTGCTATTCAACTATATTACCAAAGGAAAATACTTTCCAATTTAAAGTATAGGTCCTGCCAGTCCTCTGAATCTCATAAGAACCAGAAAGACCATTTAGCACTCCAAGGGGCTTCCTTTCTCTCTTTTCACTCATGTTTTGGTAAGTCTAAAAATACTAAACAACTCATTTTTATAAGAAAGCCGCCGTGAACTCTATATTCAAACTTTCTTAAGGATAAGACTTTCATCTATATTTACTCTGTCAAAAAATTATCTCCAGCTCTACTGCAGGGGTGAGGACAAAAAGAAATGGCTCCAGAAATCATGATTCTGCTTTTCTTGCTCTTTAACCTTGAGGCAGGAGGTAGAAAGCTATTTCAGCCAGCATCACAACAAATTTCAAATTGAATTAACAACAATCCTTATAGTCACTTGGGTTTGTCAAAAGATGGTGATTCCACAGGCATGTATTAAAGTTTGTTTATTTATATATTCACGTTATTCCTGCATTTCTTTTCTGGATTTGCTGATCGCTGCAGAAAGCAAAGACAAACAGGAATTTGGAAAAACCCAATATCTGCTTAGCCAGACCTTCCCCCAGTCTGTTCGACTCTATATAAGCATTCTGACAAATTAAAAAAAGGTGGGGGTGATTTCATTTGTGGTTGTGAGGAGAGAAAGCAATTAGGAAAATGAACTATATATGTAGCCCTTGCATTGAGCTGTCTGTGGTACTGAAAAAGGACCCCAAAGCTGACTTGTACCACGCTGTGTTCTGCTCTAAAGCCTCCCCACCACACTATTTTAATCCGAGCACTTCTACCCATGAGTCACCTGAACCATTTTATGTTGCCACATCGTGTATAAACATTTTATCAAAGGTCACACTGAGTCTTGCTTTCCAAGGTTCTCCGTGAAAATGTCAGGGCCTCCGCAGGCTTGATTAAGGGATTCTCGTGGACAGACGGTTAGGACATCAGCTAAAATGCTTTTCCTCAGTGCCGTGGAAAAACACACCATGCACCAGAAACTCACTCTGGCTGGCTGTCACTATCAAATCACCATACTAATTTGCCAAAAGGAAGAAACAAAAGCTGTCATTTTTGATGATATCTTACATTCAAGGACAGGCCCCCGAATGACAGTACAGCCCCTGTACTTGCCACCTTATCTCAGAGATAAGTCAATATATTTGGTATTCTTTATAATAAGCCCTGAAGTGTCCATTAGCCTAAAAAAGCTACGTGAAAGAAATACACTTCCCATAGTGATAGAAATAACATTAAAAGGAGGGCAGAGCTGCTAATTTTCCATGATGATCATAATCACACATTCAGTTTCTCTGAGCTTCAGGGCAAAGTATTAAGTTCTTTGGATAAATGAGACGCTTCCTACTTTTTCTGGTTCTTCTTGACCTCCAGCTCAGAGTTTCCAAAATTTTAAGAACTTTAAAAATCATGGTGTTTTTAAATGATGTGTCTGTGTGTGGGTATGTGCAGGGACCAGAGGAGATCTGAGGCCCTGGATTCCCCTGGAGCTGAAGCTACAGGCAGCTGTGTGCCACGAGATGTGAGAGCTGGGCACCCAAATCAGTTGTCTCCAAGAGCAATATGTGCTCTTGCCTGCTGAGCCAGCCCTCTCACCCATATATACATTAAGGAAGCATTGTATATGAGACTATTAGAAGAGAAAATCCTCTTTATAAAATAATGACGTTTTGTAAAAGCTGTGTCCAAAATAACTTAGTATTATTACCTAAGTCTCTACCTTGTAGTAAACATGGCAGACAGATCATAAGCCCAACTTTACAACCTAACATTTTGTGATGTTTGTGTTCTGAATAGTAAATAAGTCCACTGTGTGTATTCTCCAGAGGACCAAGCTGTGTCCCAGCTTTCCTCACTTATGCTGAACTGTCTAGTCAACACAGTTAAATATACAAATTAGCCAATGAGGGCAATGTTTCAAGCATAAAATAATCTGTTAAAAATAATTGTATTCATCATCTGTGCATTTCTAGAATTCTTACACTGTATCAAAATTCTAGGACACATATTTAATACTGGGCAGCTCCTCTTCTTTTTGAGTGAGGTCAAAAATCTCTCTATAATTCTTTTTCAGTTCATGTTTTTAAGAAGACATTTTGTTCCTCAGGAGAGCACAAGTGGCCCTCCACTCCCACCCCATGAATGCTTGTTTAGATGTGTGCTTTGGGGCAGAAGAGTCAACACTAGGAAATCTCAAGAGTAATAAAAACCATAATTGATTGGCAAGGTCTCTCAGCATGGATTAAACAAAACCACGCTGTTCTCCACACAAAATACTCTAAGTCATTTAGTTCTTAAAAATCTGGAAGAAAATCTCCAAGCAGCATTTTAAGCTTAGCCCTATTCATACACCAAAGGCGTCTGTTCGGAGGGGAAACACAGGTTAAGCCCCTCTGTATTGCAGGACTCTGGGCTAACAGCAGGGAGGCTCATCAGGAAGAAGGCCAGAAGAAGCCAAGAGGGCAGCACCTGCTTCCAACTTGGGCCTCTTACCTCCAGATCTGGCAAGGATACTCACTTCCTCTGACTGTCCCTCTGAGTAAACTAAATCAAAGAATCATTTCTTATCTTTCATTCTTCAAGTCAAAATGACTCAGGCTTAAAGTGTTGCAGAGTACCACGAAAGACTTTTTGGAAGAATCTCAAAATCTCACCATCATGCGGACTGCACTAAAGATGATTCTGTAAACTGTCTTAATATTAAAATTCAACCCCATGCACCTTAGTCTATCACTACGCACTCCAAATACTTGTTTTTTACCCTCATGCTCTAAACATATCCCTTCAAAAACACACCTGTCAAAGTTTTAACAAACAAGGAAGCAAAATGAAGTCGTTTTTCCTCCTCTCTTGGAGTTAGCTTTATCTTTATTCCATTTGGACAGTCATTAAGATTGAATTCCTCAGCCAGGCATGTTGGCACACACCTTTGATCCAAGCACTAGGGAGGCAGAGATAGGTAGATCTCTGTGAGTTTGAGATCATGCTAGTCTACAAAGTGAGTTCCAGGGTTACAGAAAGAAACCCTGTCTTGAAAAACCAAAAGCCAAAACCAAACAAACAAAAAGATCAGATTCTTCTATCTTTACTGTGAATTTAGTAATTACTAATTTGAAGATAGTTTAACTTAAACTGATCATAAACTGCCTGAAAAATGCATACAATATTTTATTTTCTAAGGCATCCTACATCTGCAGGTTTCATAGTACTACCAATGACTAATGATAGCTCAACAGTAGTCTTAGAAAAATCTAAGCTTGAAAATATCAATCTAGTTTTTTTTTAAATTCTGTAGTTATTTAAAGCCCTGAATTTTAATACTTGCTTGTGTGTGTTGACTGTGGGCTAGAGAAAACAACCGAGAATTTTTTTTAAGTGGGTGATGCCAAACTGAACAAATGTTTTCTTGTACAAGAGCTCATGAGGGCCGTGAAGTGATAGTTAACATGTAACGATTGTAACCAGTGAACTAAATTAGTAGCTATACACACTTTATGAACTAAATAAGACACTGGAAAATGTGCTAAAGAGAAGGGACAGTGCTTTTCTCACGCTGGTGTGGTCTAGCAATACCGTGAACTTATTTTCTTATGTTAGAATTATAGGCAATACTGATGGGCACGGCCTCTGCTAATGACTTTCTCATTAAGAAAAGGTGTATCAAGAAAGGACACCTTGCTATCCAGATTCTGGATAGTGTGTATCTCTCCTTTAAAAAACATGTAACTGATGGAAGTGGATCCACCTAAAGAAGTTGAGGGAAATCTTAAGACTCTACCAAATACCTCTCAGAAAGGTCTGCCTGTTTATATGCTGTGTTGATTGGTTTGTTTTCTTAACTTTCTGCACAGCAGGTCCTGACATAACAAAGTGTGTGTCTTCTTGTACCTCAAACAAGGTCACAGCGCTTGGAAAAGGCCCCTGCTGTCCTGCTTTCCTTCCCCCTACTCTGTCTGCATTGCTTTGGGTCATTCAAAAAACATCGGAGCCTGTGTTACCTGTATTTCCCTGGCGTGGTACACGATGATCAGACCGAGCAGGATGATCGTGGAGAGACTGATAAGGCATTTCAGAGCTAATGAATACAGCGACGCCTGCAACACAGTTAGATGGAACACTTTAAGAGAGAAGCACTTTTAAACCACCTTCCAGGCCATGGGAGTCAGCTCCGAGCACGTGGACCTGAACTCAAGGTAGGGGACGCATCAGCCTTGGCTCTGAGATGCAGATTATCTGGCCTCAAAGCCAAGAGAGAGGAGCCAGGAACAAGGGAAAGCTCAGAGCTTGGCTGTGGGGTCGGCACCACCAAGGACTAAAACAAGGCACCTGACTCGCTAAAGGCTAGAGAAGTTTCTCCGGAGTTTAAGCGCTTTAGGTTGAAAGGTGCCTCCGAAACTTGAGCACCCGTAGAGGAACACGCATGCTTTCCCTACCGACTCCAGGAGCCACTTATTAACAAGCCTGGATGCGGTGGACTTTCAGCACCCGGAGAACTTTCCTCTCCGAGTTGCCCAGCAGACTATGGCTGTGCGTCCTAGCTGCTTCTGCTGTTCCGATGGGGACTCTGATGTTACCGGGGACACTTGCGACCCGGTAGGCAGGGGGTTCCTGACGGCGCCCATCCCTACCACCTGGCTCCCACTCCGGGAGGGTACTCAGGGGCTGAAGCCCGTACCTTGTCGTAGGCGCCCCACGACAGCTCGGTCTCGATGACCATGACCACGATGCCGAACATGCCGAAGATGAGCGCATAGTCGCTGAGCCGCTTGCGCTTCTCAAACAGGGCGCGCCGGTGGCCCAGCTTGTAGCCGATGTTCTGGTTCTTCTTTTTGCTGGACTTGGTACCGCTGCTGCTGCCATGCCCGCTGCCGCCGCCACCGCCGCCTCCGGTGCTGCCTCCGCCGCCAGTTCCGTAGAGCGCCAGGTTGTTGGAATTGTTATGCTCCGGCTTAGACACCACGATCTCCGGGGCTGAGGAAGAGGCGGCGGCGGCAGCAGACGGGGAGGACGCACCACCGCCTCCTCCTACGACGGAGGCGGGGGGCTGCAGGGGCTGAGCCTCGGAGTCCATCTCGTGCAGGTTCCGGCGGGACGAGCTCAAGTTGCTGAGGGGACGCATGACGCCCCCGTTGTACCTGCAGCTGCTCATGGCTATTTCGGTGAAGGGGTTGCTCTCACGGCGCGCCTGGGGTTGGTGATGCTGGTGGTGCGCCGGGTGCGGGTGGTGGTGGTGGTGCGAGAGCGGGGGCCCAGAGCCCAGGCTGCCCAGGCTGCCTGTGGGGCTGGCGGCGGGCTGCAGGCTGTGGCACTGGTGGTACTGGGAGGCGGACGCGGGCTGCTGCGCGTACTGCTGCCGGAGCGCACTGGCATGGCTGGACGGCGTCAGCTCGCTCACATTGAGCTGGCTGCCCCGGCGCGACGAGCAGCAGCAGCAGCACGAAGAGCCCGACAGCGGAGAAGAGGTGCGGGTCCGGAAGGCGCCGCCGGGCGAGGAGGTGCGGAGCAGCAGGGACAGGTTATCCCCCGCCCCCGCCCCCGCCGCTGGGGCACCGGAGGAGGCGCAGCTGTTGCACCGGAGGCATGGGCTGCTGCCACCGCTGCCCGGCTGCTGGTGTGCGAGGTGCGGGTGGTGGTGAGGGTGCGGGAGGGGCGCGAAGGGCGCGCACGGCTTGTCCTGGCTCTGTTGCTGCTGCTGGCAATGCAGGTGTGAGGAGCGCGGCGGTGGCGGCGGCTGCTCTGGGAAGAAGCCGTGCTGGAACTGCAATGGGGTTTCCATGTCAGGGCTGTTAAAGCTGCAGGGAGACCAGGCGGTGGTGCACCCTGCGCAATGCGTTATGGTCGGGAGCGGGGACTCCTGCTGCTGGTGCGAGGAAGGGCCCATGCCGGCTCCGGTAGAATCCAGGCGGCGAGTCCGATTGGTTGGGCGCACCAAAACAATGGGCATGACATCACCTGCGGGGACCGAGACTGAGTTTGCGGCGCGCGCGGCTTAGGGGACCATATGTGTGTGAGAGAGTGGTTGGGAGGGGAATCTGCAGAATGAAAACCCCGGGGGGCACAGGCCAGCTCCTGCTGGGGTGAGGACACTCGAGGGCAGGGATTCCACCTGCGGATCGCGTGCGTCCGAGATAATGGCTGGGAAGACTGAGCTCCCCCACGCATAGCGGCTGGCTGCAGAGGTGGGAGAGAGAGCGATGCCTCTCGCTCTACTGTCACGGCCCCCCGACTGGTGCGGGACACGTTAGCCCAAATGACCTGCCTGGGGCACTGCAGCACGTCTGGCCACTCTGGTCATGGGGCAGGCGCCAGTACGGTGCGAAACCCGAGCCACTCTCCCGCCCTCTCGCCTTGTAGGGCTGCAAGACAGCACCTGCTAAGCCCCACTTCCTCTCCCCCATCGTCCTGCCGAGAGTGGGCTGCAGGCTGCTGGCCAAGTAACTGCGGGGGCAAGGCTTTGGGTAGGGGGTAAAAAAATAAATAAAAGTTTGGCGTCTGCCTATGCGAATGCATCAGCGTTGGGAGAAAGCTAGCCGGATGCCTGACTTGGCCTCTGAGGGATCATATCCAACCCCTAGCAGGGATCTGTCCCTGTCCGCTAGCTCACAGAGTCCCAGAATCGGGACTGGCGGCGCTGTCTCTCTTAGAGGAGAGCATTGCGGCGCGGTTAGGGTTAACCTCGCGACGCCCGGGCAGGGGGAGGAGGGGGCGGGGCCGAAGGAGGGGATCCCCGGCGTCCGGGGAGGAGCCCGCTCGGGTTTCCCGGGTCCCCCTGGCGGGGGCGGAGGGCTTTCCCCACTAGCGCCAGCTCACATTTGCGCGTTCTCCGGAACATGAGGGGCTAGCGCCCCTGGCCGCCAGGTCCGGGGCTCGGGTGCTCAGGCAGTCCAGCAGCCTGAGTGGGTAGGTCCGAGGACTACCTTGGTGCTGCTGACGAGCCTTGTTCAGGGTCTGGGGGCTGCTCAGCCACCGCAGACCGCCAGCTTCTCTGGTTTTCCTGTTCCTCCAGACCTGCAGTACAGACACAAAGCAAAGGCGGGTCACTAATGCGCAGACGCCAAGCATCTTCCTTGTCGTGGCCAGACTGCAGCGGCTGGGCAAGGGGCCTGGTGAAGGTTGATTGATGCCAGTAGCCATCTAACTGCCAATTAATGCCGTAGTGGTGATTCGACTGAACAATCGCTGCCCTTGGACATGGAGTTTCACTAGACTTAGATGTAATGAATAATTATACTCTCTAATAAACCAGTAAAGTTGCATTTTGCATTTTGCCATGGTGTGTCCTTATTGAGCTATACACAAACAAAACGGCAGGAGGTCTTTTTGAGGGCTCTTGATTAATACTCCGTCATTAAGGCTATCATTTGTGTTTCTTTGTGAATTTAAATTCCTGTCTTCCTAAAGGAAAAAAAAAGATGAAATTGGCCAATAAGATATTTCAATTTTAAATTGTGATTTCAATAGTTTTTATAGTGGAGATTGCTAACAGATTAGATCAAGACATTAAAGCGAAAGCGGATCGCTCTCATTAGGTAATTGGAATTCTCAGCTGGATCCAGTTTCTTGACATTCTACTCAGCAGCTGCCCTAAAGTTGCTTACCAGGTATCGGCTTGAAAGTGTGTGTGTTTGTGCTCCGTGCCATTGAGTGAATAATTTATTTCTGGATATTCTTTGCAAGTGTGCTAAGCAGTTGAGAATTTTCGTGCACACAAGCAAATAGATTGAGAAGGAAAAGAGATAGAATTGCATTTAGAGCTATAATCCTTGACAGGAGATCATGAATAATTTGGGATTGAATTTCTTAATAATCTTGGTTAAGGATTGAATTTTAGTGGCTGAAAAATCAAAGGCATTAATCTTATTATCTAGTGTGACTGTTTTTTGTTTTATAGCTTCAAAGTGGGAAACGAATAGTGTTTAGAATGAAGAGATTTGTTGAATTTTGAGGGCAGCTGGTAGTGCACATATTCACTACAGAAAATAATTCCAGTGAAAGAAGGGTGTGGTTGTGCATGCCTGAAACCCTACACCTGGGAGATGGAGGCAGGAGGAAAAGAGTTCAAAGCCATCCTCACATACACCATATCTAGCTTCAGACCCCTTCTGTGATTTGTTCACCCTTTAAATCCACCCAATATGTATTAGTGCACTTTGCAACAAATTGTACAGGCTTCTTTTTCATTGCTCTTCGTCGATGACTGATTGAAACATTTGACTAGTCTTTATCTCTAAATACTTCAAAGAAGTATATCAAAAAATAATATGTTCATCGCCTCCTCGTAAATTTAGAAAAGATTTCATAGACATCTCCCCAAATAGCACAATAGCTGTTACTCGTTTTAAATTATAAGGTTCTAGACTTACTAAAATGTCATCAGGAAAACAAAAGGTGCATCCCCCTGTGTTCAGCATAAGCTGACTTTCTCAAAGACCACACTGAAAGCTTCTCAAGGGCTTCAGAAACAAAAGGGTAAACAATATTGAACCTGTGCTTTCTCTTTCCCTCCCTCACCCCCCTTCCCATGTGTGAGTGTAGACGTTGATTTGGAGTGGGTTACTGAGACATGGAGTCCTCACTTTTCTCAATGAAGATGTGCAAATTAAAAAAAAAAATGAGGAACCTCAGGAACACCAAAACTCAGATTGACCTACTTCAGCATGGTGAATATAAGAGCTCGTAAAATAGTAATGTCAAAGTCATTGTGCGTAGAGAGATGGAGAACAGGCCAATGGGACACTCACTATCCTTCCATTAGAGTAAGCTGATCACAGTTAATGATACCTTGCTAGTACATGCCTGTGCCTGAAACAGACCGGAAGTCCTGGTGAAACCGAGGACTTAGAAACGCAAGAGCCGTCCCATCTTTAGATGGCTGAACCCCTCTAACAATTGCTATAAGTCATGACAGGTGTCAGATTAAGACATCCTTGTTATCAGTATTCCTCTGGTAGACAACCTTTTAAAGTTCACATGCTGATGTTAAAAATGCAGTTACTCTGACTTCATGGAAACCTTTTCCTTATAGCAGTGGTGCTTAGCTTGTGGGTCTTGACTCCCAAAGATCATTGGAAAACACAGATATTTACATTATGATTCATAGCAATAGCAAAATAACAGCTATGAAGTAGCAACAAAAATAACTGTAGGGTTGGGAGGTCTCTGTAACTGTATTAAAGGGTCACAGCCTTACGAAGATTGAGAAGCACTGCTCTGTAGGAGCAAAGTGAAGCCACTAATGCAGACAGACAGTACTTTTGATGTGGATGGTGTTTTGCACTCACACCGGCGAGTGAGAGGGAAAGGAACGAGGGAGGAAAAAGAGGGGATGCTTAAAGCAGAGATCTGTGGTCTCCACTGAGAAGCTTTCACAGTTAGATTTCTTCCCCCTTCCTTCCATTAAGGCAAGCAAGTGCTGGAATTCCCCTAGATTAACACCAGAGGTCACAGTCACCCACAAAATGCATTTGCAATCTAATCAATTAAGCAGCGTCTCTCCTTTATCTTCCTTTCTTTTCCTTTTTTGACTATAATCTCTTTTTTCTTATGCCCTCTTAGAGTGTTTCCTTTTCCGTATTTGTCATATGTCAAGCTTGTAGACAGGCGCACACACTAACATAACCGATCCCTAAACACACAGTCATGGAAAGGGCTTCCCCAGCCGCGAACACCGAGTTTTAAAAGCTTCACGTTGGTTTTACTCCAGTCTTAGTTTACTCAAATTCCTGTTGTGTTCATTTTTATTATTTTCTTCTATATAGGATTTGTCTGTACTTTCTCATTCATTGTCCATTAAAATGCAGGACTCTCTTGACCTATATATTTGGTGTTTATTTCCAACAGGCAACCAAAACAAGAGAATAATAACATCTGTTTCCTACACTGCATGCTCGGAGCAGAACTTGGAACTAAGAAGTGAACATTTTTGAGAATTATTTTTTATTGCCTGACTGAGTCAATTATTTGATGGTACTGAACCCAAAGGCTCTGATGTGATGCTGCTTTTCTGAACTCACTTTCCTTAGCAACAGATTGAGGAGGATGAGGACAGCAGCAGCTGTTTCCTTAGTACAGCTCAGTGTTCCTGAAAGGTAACAATTCAAAGGTCCACAAAATCTAATTTTAAATCATAAATTCCCTAGTGTCACAATTAATGCATTGTATTTGAGGCAAACACTAAAATTATATTTATGTTTGATGCATGAACACATGCCTGCATCATGATGATAAAATATTAAACCTGGAATAATGAATTTTACAAAGGCTAATAAATCATGTTGGACCATATCTATTAATTTAATTAACCCTTCTAATGATTTTTTTATTCTCTTCAATGTCTTCCTACTATTTCTCAACTTATTAACCTATCTACCAAAGTCCCATAAAAGCTAGCAAAAGACAAAAGGTAAAATATTAATCTTGTTAGCAGAATTGAACTCGGGTTACTTATAAATGGATGAAAAGGCTGAACTTATTGTGGATTTCTTAATTATATATCCCTTTGCCATTAGAAACAGAGAGAGGGGGAAGGAGGATGGAAAGGGTGGATCACTGTTTGAAGCCCAGTGGATTGTACAAAATTGTTTCTTATGTACTGTTTTATTTGTATCTCACAAATACCCAGGGAGAAGTCAGAGGTTTTATTGTCCTCTTTATTTTGCAGATAAGGAGAACACCTGAGATACTGTCTGCCCTACCCAGGGTGACGCTGTTGAGAAACAAGGACAAGCCAGATCGCTTAACAGTCTTTGGGTCTTTGTGGTTGTCATTTTCACATCGTAGGGGTCTTGCTCCACTGCAGAATTAAACACACGGGTTACATTGACTCACTCAAGAATAGATAGTGGTGCCTCTGAATGTTTTCTCACTGGCTCTTTTGTTTCCTGTGATCTTTATCCTCTTGTTGGCTTCATTTGATCAATGAGATAATTTGAGAGAATTTAATCTAAGTGTGGAGGAAATGGAAGTACTTTATCCCTGCTGGTCTTAGGGCCTAATTAAAAATATATTATATTGAGAGATACAGGAATAGACGTGCTTTTCTTTTTAAACAAACAACAACATGATTCTGATATGTTCAGCAATACTCCATACTCTTTCAGTGACTTAGTGCCATTCTGGGCATTCATTATTTGAGGCTACATCCAGCAAATACTGGAGAGGGAGGGGGGAGAGGAGTGGGAGGAGGGGGAGAAGGGTGGGAGGAGGGGGAGAAGGGTGGGAGGAGGGGGAGAAGGGTGGGAGGAGGGGGAGAAGGGTGGGAGGAGGGGAAGGGAAATGGGAGGCTGGGAGGAGGTGGAAACTTGTTTTTTGTTTATGTTTTTTTTTCTTCTTTTCGCAATAAAAAAATAAATAAATAAATAAATAAATAAAAGATTAGTAAGAGTTTTCCTGCAACTATGGAGGGTTATTTTGCTTGTTATTATACAGATGAGAAGGAGGAGGCTCTTGGTCTCGCAACTCAAAGGACTTTCCCTATTGTCATACTTGGGCCCACCCCGTGTATCATTCTTGCTTCCCTTTCTAGCAAACTGATGAAAACCAGAGAAAAGAGACAGACTTTACATGACATGGAGAGACCTGTGTGTCTCCCAGATGGGCTAGAGAGCCAGCAAAGTGGAATCAAAGATCATCATTTTAAAATAGCTCTAAATACTGAAGGCACATTAAGTCTCCCCCCCCCCACTTTTTCTTGATCACAGCCCTGCAGATTAAGTCACCTCTTGCTATTCAGTAACCCTAGATGCGTCTGCTTTCTCTTTCCTTATTTCCCTTTCATGTATCGAGCTTATACAAATTCCCAGATCCTCTTTCTTTATATTTATCCCCCTTTCTGTAATTATTTGCAAACTTCCCATAATTGTCTTAGCAAAGGAGAGGGTTGATGCCTTTCTAGTGCTGCTGTTAAGAAGAAAAAGAACCATGCTCTGCAACACTGAATT